GACCCCCTCCATCCAGCAGGAGACCCAGTCACGCAGCTGCCTGGCTGCCAGACCAGAGTGGAAACAGCATCCGTCTGTCCAGGCTGCCGAGGCCACTGGGGAATGTGATGAGGCTGCTGAAATGGGGCCCTGGGCAGGGGGAGCACAGCCGCAGCTTCCCAGAAACCCAGGTCTGGTTCTGCAGACAGAGACTAGCTGACAAGGTTTGCATTAGAAAGCCAAACCCCAGGGGCTGGAGTGGGGCCCGCTGCCTGGAGCTGCCTGGGGAGAGGGTGCCAGGGATGGCAGGGGGCAATCTGGGGGGGTGGCAGGAGCCCTCATCCCAGCCTGGATGGACTTCCTCTAGCCTTCCACATTGCCAATGGGCAAACTGAGACCCAGCCACCTGAGGGACATGCCCAGGGACCCCAGCAAGGCTATCAGGAGGTGCCCAGCAGAGCCCCTTTCTTCCTCTTCCAGTCCAAGGGTCTTCCTGCTGCCCTGCTTCCTAGGAACCCCCCAAGCCCCCAGATGTCACTCAGCAGCAGCCAGTGGGATGGCATGGCCCTTGTCTCATACTCCTCCCTGTCACCTCCTAGCTGTGAGATCTTGGTCTGAGACCATAACCGCACTGAGCCTCAGTGTCCCCATCTGTAAGATGGGGATTAATCCATGCCTTGCAGAATCACTGTGATCCTTTAATAAGACACTGCGGGTCTTGGGCTTGGCATGCTGACTGGCACATAGTAGGTGTTCAGAAATGTTCAGTTCCTCCTCCTTTACTGGCTGCATGGTCCTGGCCAGCCAGCGGTAGCTGGGCTATCTGCACAGCGTGTCTTCCCCACACAATCCGTGTTTTGGGATATTGAATAATCTAGCTCCGTTTGGTTCCACTGGGCTGCCAGGTCCCAAAACCCTGGCCCCTCTCCCCTTCATTCATTTTTTCATTGAATAAATACTTATTGAGGGCCTACTGGGTGCTGGACACTGTTGTGGGGAGAGAGCAGTCGAGGTACAAGACACAGCGTGGGTGAAGACACAGAGGGCCAGAGCTGAGAACACAAGCACTTTATGCATCACACGCACCCATCCTCTGTTCTAGCAGCATCCGCTGTGTGCCAGGCCCTATCCTCAGCCCTGGGCCACAGCTCGAGGTTGGGGGTAGGGGTGAGGAGGAAGGGCAGGAGGGGCAGGGAGCTTGCCCATCCCTCTAGGATTTGCAAATTAATTAGAAAACCCAAGGCTGGTGCCTGGTGACACTGTTTTAACTTGCCATCCAGACTGGGAAAAGACGGCAGGTCCCCACCCAGCATCCTCATAATTACTGCCTTCGCCTCCTTTAGGGCTCTGCTGGGTGTATCAAAGGGCTGCCATGGCCTCTGCCGCTCAGAGCCTAGGGCGGGCAGCGGGCTGCAGGCCCACTTCCTAGCTGGGATGACTGAGGCCAGAGAAGGAAGTTCTGCTTGGGGTTGGAAAGAGAGCAGAGCTGGCATCACAGGGCTGCTCATGACATGACAGCCAGAGGCTAGGGTGGCATTGGAGCCACAGCAGGGTTTGTCCTGGCCAGATGGGGGAGACTCAGACCCTCTTCACAGAGTGTGGAGGGCAGAGACAGGCTCCTCTGGGGACCTTTCTCTCCCCCTCACCTGGTGGACTCCCACTTGACCTTGGTCTCAACTTGGATGGCTCCTCTTCCTCCTGGAAGCTGCCTGACCCTTCCAGGCTGGGTCAAGTGCCCTACTCTGGCTCCTCTGTGACCCAGCTCCTCTCCTTCTTGGCCTGGGTCTCGCTGTGTTGCCCCTGCTGCTTCCACCTGACCAAGGGCTCCATGAGGGCAGAGATCTTCCTTTCTGCGGCCCCAGCACCCAGCCTGGCACAGAGCAGGAGGAAGAAGCAAGCCATGTTCGTCCTCTCCCCTCCCGACTCCAACCTGGATGCCTGGGTTGTGGGCTGCTGTGGCATTTGGAGAACTTGAGCAGGTTATCTGGCCTCAGTTTCCCCAGAACCAGTGTTCTCAAACCATATCTAGGGAGGTGTCCATCAAAGCAGAGAGAGGAGAATGTCCTGTCTTGGTAGTTGAAGGCGGCAAATGGAAAACCATTTTATCAAGCCCCAGACTGCCTGGGCCCAACTCCTGTCACCTCTGCATGAGCCAGTGGCTCTGACAAGTTACTTAACCTCCCCGTGCCTCAGGGTCCAGCTCTGTAAAATGGGATAACAATGGTACCCACCTGGAAGGGTTGTTGGAAGGATTAAATGAGTAAATATGGGCAAAGCCCTTGGAACAGTGAGTGGCACCCGGCAACTCTTGTGTTAAGTGTTCACTGACACCTGGTCAAATTAAAGCAACATATTCCTGTTGCCCTGGGTTTGTTTATTTTTTCACCGATGATGTGAACTTGGTTACAGTAGTGTTTGCCAGGTTTCTCTACTGTTAAAAATGTTTCCCTTTTTTTTTAAACCCTTTTTATACTTCCCTTCTTTGGAAGGTTTCACTAGGTCCAGTCCACCCTCAAAGCGGTGGGGAAATAAATTAGGAGTTTGGGTTTGCAGATACTAACTATTATATATAAAATAGATAAACAACAAGGTCCTATTGTATAGCACAGGGAACTATATTCAATACCTTGTTATAGTCTATAATAAAAAAGAATATGAAAAGGAATATATATAATATATGTATAACTGAATCATTGTGCTGTATACCAGAAATTAATACAACATTGTAAACCAACTGTATTTCAATTAAAAAAAAGTGGGGAATTAAACTTCACCTGCTGGAGGGGGAAAACCTACAATGAATTATTTGGAATTCTTCTGTAAGGAAGACTTGTCTAGTCTCCCCCATTTATTTATTTCTTCAGTCATTATATCTGCATGGACTCATGGATATTTATACTTCAGATTACAATCCAATTATGTTATTTATTCCATTGCTCATCCTGGTCTAGCTTTGGCGATTGGGATCTCTTTCAAGTTGGCTCCTGTTCTGATATCCCCCCATCTGTTTGTTTTTTGAGCATTTCCTTATTCTCCAGCACTACAAGATGTTCCAGACTCATCTTGCGTTTTCCCTGCCGCAGCCCTGGAATCAGTCTTTTCTCTAAGGAGCCTTGGTTCCTTTTATTAGAGGGTGGTGTTTAAAAACCAAGATCTGGGAGCTAGATGTGCTTATGGCTACTGGTGCATCACTACTTCTAGGCCCTCTATGGGGGAGAACTGTTTTTTTTTTTTTTAATTAAAAAAAAATTAAGTTTCCCCTGTTGCCAATCGTGGGGTCTGTTGGAGGCTCCGGACAGCTGCCCACCAGATTTTGAGCACAGACCCCAGTCTGTGGCCCACAGGCCTATGCAATCTTATGTGCCCTTAGAGGGCCTTATGTCCACTGGCACTCTGACAGAGAGAGAGAGAGAGGACATGTGGCCACCTCCCCCATGCTGAGCCACGTCCTGTGTCCACTCCTGCTGACCGGTGGAGCCATCAGATGGCTGAGTTCCTTTGGGAATGGGACTCAGCCTGGCCTTAGGTGCCCTTGCAGCCCAGACTGCTGGGGGATTATAGGCTGGCTCCCTGTTGGACCAACAGCTTTGTCAGTGGTAGTGGCAGTGGCCATAGCCCAGTAACAGAGCCATGGAGGCCACCTGGGTCAGGCCAGGCAAAGGTCAGGTCCCAGGGAGGCCTGACTCAGACACCAGGCCCAGCACACCCAGGCAGCCCCTGCTAAAGGAGGAAGGTCTGCCGAGGTGTCCCTGTGCGCCCTTACCTTTCACAACCCCAGCCCTGTCCAACACTCAGAGAACTCTGATGCTCGGTAGGCCAGGACCCAGAGCCGGCTGCCCATAGAGGCAGCTCTCCTGCAGCTGTAGAGTCAGGGCAGAGAAGACATATAAGGCAAGCTAGGCCCCCTCCCAGCTTTGCCAGAATGTCTCCTGTCTCTGCACAGCTCCAGGCTGGGAGTTCTGGGCCTGCCGCTACCAGTGACTTCCATTTGGGGCACAGTAATCATGTCTCACACTACTTAAAATCTTTGGTGGTTCCCCATTGCCCTCAAGTTAAAATCCCCACTCCTGGGCCTGCCTTACAAGGCCCCAGAGACCTCTTCAGCTCCCTGCATTATGCCCTGATAACATCAAATTGCTTGTGGTTCCTCATTGCACAACTGCACGGTTTCACACCTCCACAACTGCCTGCCTGCATCACCCTTTCCCACTGCTTCACTGGCTAATTCCCTGAGGTCTTAGCTCTGGATCACCTCCTCCAGGAAGTCTTCCTCTTGTGCCCCGGATCACTTCTGCTCATCTGGTCCTGTCTTTGGTCACCTGTGTATGACACCTTCCTCAGGCCTACTGTGAAGGACCTCTCGCACGCAGGGTAGCAACCTGGTGTAGTGGAAAAGGCTCATGGTTTGAATTCAGGGCTTTGGCTCCCCTCAAGGCCTCTGCTCCTTCCTGCTATGTGAGTTAGGGCAAGTCACTGCACATCTCTGAGCCTCCTCTATGAGAAGAGAATCTAATTGGGACTCAAGGCCCTGCTTTCAAGTCTGGCCTCTGCCTCTAAATTGCTGTGTGGCCTTGGGCAAACCCTGTCACTGGGCCCAGCCTCAGTTTTCTTCTGTAAAATGGGGCTGCCCAAAAAACTCCAACAAGCCAAAACTTGTGAAAAGCTTTTGTAAACCTCAGAGCCCTACATGGATGAAGAATCTATTTCAACAGCTCCGTGGAGATACGTGGGAGGGAGGTCGGTGGCTGCTCTCAGCACTTTCCAGTCCCCTAGCCCTCCAGAAGCCTTGAGATCAAAGGTGACAAAGGCCTTTTGGCATGGAGGACGGGCTTGGCAGGGCCTGCTCCCTGGCCCCATGCCCACCTCCCACCCACCACGACTCCCAGGGTTACATGACACGTGTGCCTTGAGTAAGAAGCTCTGTTTAAACACTCTGGGTTGGTGTGAGCCCTCCCCACTCTCACTTCTGACCCAGAAGGCCTCTCCAACCCCACTGTTCCTCCAAAGACTTAAAACCAAGCTCAGTTTGAACAATCTGCAACTTTATTCCAGAGCAGAAATAAGTCATTTCCTAACAATAAATATAAAAAAATAATAATAAATTAAGGTTCGAAAAAAAATACACAACAAAACAAAATCGTTAACACTGACAGAGTAATGAATATTCTTTAAAGGGGTAGGGGACCCGAGGGGCTGGCCCCCAGCCTGGGAATGTCTAACACAGGCCATCGTCCACCTCCGGCCCTGGCTAGGCCCCCTGCCACACACACATTCTCTCCACAAAGTACAAAATATATATTTAAAAAAACCTCAACACAACCAAGCATCCTGCAAGGGCCCTGGAGAAGCAAGAGTTTGGCCCGTGGGGGCTGAGGACGGGGCCTGGGGGGCTGAAGGCACTGGAGGGACGGGAGAACCACTGTGGGTCTTGTCCAGCTGAGTTCGCTGTTTGTTCTCTTCTTGCGAGGTACCCTGTTCCTATGGCCGTGGGCTGACTGCCCCACCTCCCCAGACGGCGAAGGGGAGGTTAGTTTGGCCATGTCCTGTGTGTATGTCCGAAAGCCTTGGCGAGGCTCCTGCTAGAAGGATGCTGAGCATGTGGGGGTGTCCGCAAAGTCTGTCCTTCGTAGGTGAAGAGTTCATAGGCCACGCCCCCAGCCTGGGGTCCCTGAGCCTCATCTCAGCTCAGGCCAAGGTATCATCTAAGATCCCCCAACAGAGGTCTCAGGGTGGCATCAGTAAAGAACTAGAAATAAATAAGTTCCCTGGTGGCCCAGCATGGAGTGGGCCAGAGGCCACTCTGTTTCTTCAAGTATTCTTGGCTGAGTGGGTGCGTGAGGCCTGTCGGGGCTCAGATGGGGATCCCCACCATGTTCACCTGGTCCTTGAGGCCCAGCAGGCTGTAGGCGATGCGTTTCTGGTGGCCGGGCAGCCGCACCCCGATTCTCTTGATGTCGCTGTGTGGGGAGGGAGGGAGGGAGAGTTAGGGGCCTGCTCTGGGGGAGGCAGGTGGCAGTGGGGGGGAGAAGGAGCGGGGAGGGGGCCTTGGGCATCTGGGAGGGCAGAGCTTGTTAAGCAGAGGCCTGACAGGAGGATCTGCATCCCGAAGGCCTGCCAGCACCGACAGTTAGAAAAAATGACAGAAGCATTGAATGCGAGCTTTTTTTTTAATCAAATCTGCAAGGTAGGTGCTCTTTGCACCCCCATTTTGCAGATTAGAAAGCTGAGGCTCAGAGGGGTGAAGTGATTTGCCCACAGTGACACAGCTGGGAGATGGACGAGCTGGGAATCAAGCCAGCTGTGAACAAATGTCTCTCCTCCCCAACCCCGGGGAGGGGTCTGTCCTAAAGTTTCCCCCGTTTAAGGCTCCTCCCCAGGTGGCACTGATGCAATCACCAGATGCACATCGGCCAGGGACCCTCTAGGGGTATCGCTCAAAGCTCTCGGCCCAAGGTTTCTTCACAGCCATCGCCTTATTTCATCCCCACTCCCTCCAAGTTCTCATAACTGAGGAAAGACTCAGGAACTCCTTGCTGAGAGGCCCCTCCCATTACAGACCAGGGGCTTACAGGTCACCACATCTGGTGACCAGGTTACCCCAAGGCAGGAGTTTTCCCTTTAGGAACCTCAATTTCCTCACCTGTAAAATGGGATAACAGTGCCTAACTGGAGAGTGGGAGAGCCCGGAAACTGGTGGCAGAGGGGGAAGTGTCATCGTTACCAAATAGAAAGATATGCCCAGAAACCCACAGCCCTCCCTCCCCTGCCCCGCCTTCAGGTCCCTCCATCTCCTCATAAAACCACTTACACTCTCAGGAGCCCTGGAGCAGACCTTTACTGCTCACTCTGGGAGCTCCCTCCTTCACCATCCTCACCCATCAGCCCAAACCCATGAAAACACTCAGGTTTTTATGGGCCAGCTCCTGGCTGTAAAGAGAGCTAATTATATGGTGCAAGCTCCTATTTGCAACTCTGGAGACAGGACTTTCCCACAGGCTCTGGGAGCCCTCAGAGAAGTGCTGAACAAGGTAGGGCCGACCCAGGTGTGTGGGGTGGTGGCTCAGGGACCTCCAGGATGGGGCTGGCTGCTCCCACTGCATCAGGAAGGCCAGAAGTCAGACATCTGGGAGAACTTACTAACCTACCACTGCAGTGCCATTCCTAAGCTATAAAGTTGAGGGTGTTGAGAAAGCAGCACTGTTTTCCCCATATCTGTTGGTCTCAATGTGCCCCCCAAGTTATTTCAATGTGCTCCTGATAAGCCTTTGGACCACCAGGGAAGGAGGGACTTACTGAAAAGGTAGGTTCCTAGGCCCAACTCCAGACTCACTGAAGTTCTGAAGGTGGGCAAGGAGTCTGCATTTGATCAGGTGGCAAAGACCCTGATGGGTCTTTAAGGACTAGCAGGCTATGAGCTATAGGAGGGCAAAGGCTGAGGTCCAGTTCCCTGGGCTCACCCCCGCCCCAGGGTCCAGGATAGGGCTGGTAGACAGTAGACCCTCAAGAAGTGTCTGCTGAATGAATGAATGAACGAATGAATGCTTTTCTGGAGACTGAGCCACTGCCCAGGCTGCCGTGGGCCCCTCTCCCAGGTTAGTGTCATCCGTCTGACAGGGTGGGAACTGAAGGTGCTTCTGAGGCCTGTCTAGGAGGCAAAAGGGCTGGGCTGGGAGGCAGGAGGCTGAATTCTAGTTCTGGACTCCAGCAGAGCCTTGGATGGCTCCTGTCCTTTCTTTGGGCCTCAATTTCTTTGTATGTAAAATAGGAGGCTCTGATTAGATGCTTCTGAGCCACCTACCCCAGCCCTACTCTCACAAAGCCCCCCAAACCTCCCCTGCCTCATTTCCTAACCACAAATAGAGGCACACAGGACGAGGGTCACAGACCAAGCTGATTCCTGCCCCAGCCTCGGTGTCCACCTCGGGGATCCAGGGCAGACACTTCCATCAATTCCCATTACAGGGGGTGAGGCGACACATGACCAAGGCCGCTTTTCCCCCTCGCACTTGTGATGCCAGTCCTGGCCCTGGGAGATTCAAACGCCACAGCTCCTCGGTAAGCACCTATTGTGTGCTGTCCCTTGGCCCAAGGAGAGTGGAGTGAGAGATGGCCGGATCATTCACCTTCTCAGCAGACATCCCGTCAGCTGCGGTCCCACGCCCCCTCAGAATGCTGTATGCCACAGCCTTGGACACTAGACAGGCCTTTCGCTGGACTGGGTCCTATGCTGGGATGCAACATTAGCTCCTCGAAAAACATTTAGAGCCACTAGTCTAGCTAGAAACTCAAGTGACTCCCAGCTCTCATGGTGAATGTTCAAGCTGAGAAAAGGTGGCTGCTGTGGGCCTACAGGGGACCAAAAAGCCAGCCCCTTGGGAAGGGGTAAAGGAAGCAGGGAGGCCAAGGTGGGGATAGGATGTTGAAGCCTGAAACCAGATCCCACCCGGAAAGGGCTGAATTCTGAGAGCAGCTTAGAGCCTCCCACTGGGACCCACAGCATGTGCAGATACAGCCTTCAGGGGGGAAAAGTACTTTAAGATCCCCCATTATTTGAAATAAAGGAGGCAGCGGTATGAGTCATGCAGGCCCCAGATCTGAGCACCAGTGGAGTTGGTGGGAGGAGGAGGGAGTGTGGAATGACTTCCTGCCTTTATCCAGACCTTTTCAAACACACACACACACACACACACGTACGTACACACACTCCATCGATCCAGGACAGCCCTGTCCCTGCTCCTGCTCGTGGGAAAGGAATTGGCCCAGGAGCACCCCGGGCTATTTCGGGAAGCTTCTAAGAACACATGTTTCCTGTAAGTACTTCCCTGTGCCCTCAGCTCTGCTCACCCAGGAGGGAAGCTGTGCTGTCCTCAATGGGGGCTCCTGGAAGGGCAGAGGGTTCCAGGTTCCCCAGGGAAAAGGAGGGGGCTCAGGAACCCGGTATTTGCACATGGTCTGGGGGTGGAAAGAAAGGGAGTGGAGGGAAAGGGGAGAGCGACATGGACTAAGCCCCTACTGCATACCAGGCCTACCATCTACATTGCACCCATGCAATCCCCACAGGGGCGAACAGAAACCAAGGCTCAAAGATGGGACCCAGTTTGACCAAAATCACCTGATAGGAAGTGGCAGATGTGGGACCTGAACCCCCGTGTGACTGCAGAGCTCAAGCGTGGGACCCTGCAGCTGTCTGGCAACAAAAGAGATCCTGGGACTCATCCTCTCTCTCCGCAGCTCCATGCCTCCCTCTGGTCAGCTCTGTCCCTGCCTGACTTTCATCCCCAGCCGTCCCCTGGGATAGGCGGTGGCCTGATCTGAGAGGCCTCGACCAGCAGGTCAGAAGCACAGTTGAGCAGTTTTCAGAAGCCCTGGAGAGTGTTTATACACAGGCCCAAATCCCAGAACTGTGACCCAGAACCAGGGGACGCCTGGGTCGTCCCTTCCATGTGATTCCCAAAACCTCTTGGCCCCAAGTCTCATTCCCACTATGACCTTGGACTTTACACAAACTGAGCTGTTGGGAACTAACACTATTTTTAGAGGCACAAAAGGCTAAGAGGATAATGTCTTCTCCCTCCTGGGGTGGGAGGAGGTGTCCGTGCCAAGGCCGTGCTGGGAAGGGTCCCTGTTGCAGGAGCTGGGAGGAGGGAAGAGCTCCCACGGGGTAGCCTGACAAAAGGCAGAACCCAGGGCCAGGCCAGGGGTCACTGAGAGTCAACCACACGGGAAGAGAGGCCTGGGATGGGTTGGCCCATCATCAGCCAGGGAAGTCCAAGGGCTCTGCCATTTCTTCTCAGCGTCCTAGAGGAGAATGCTGCCCCTAGCTGGCTGGGTGACCTCGGGCAAGCTATGTCACCTCTTAGCCTCAGTTTCTCTACTTGTTAAATGTGAAAGTAACAATAGCGTCTATTCACAAGACAACTAGGTTATTCAGCCAGGTGGTGGCTGTGAAGCGAAGCCTTTCTTCTCTCTGCTACAAACTGTGTGACCTGGAGTCAGCCACGTAATCTCTCTGAGCCTCAGTTTCTCCACTAATGACTGACATGGTCCCTGAGCTCCAGACCCTGATTGACCAGGGCTGGAATCCTACTCTGCCCCTAATGGCCATAGGCCCCCGGGCTGTATTATACTTCCCTGCACTGGTTTCTCACCTGTCCAGTGGGACCACCTGCCAGGTTATCACGAGGACAGATTCAAAGTGCTCGAGCACGGAGCTGGCACCTAGTCAGCCCTTGATAAATGCTACTGTTATGATACAATTACTATTATTTTCTCAGTCTGGAAAAAAGATGTAGGAAGAGGAGGAAGCCAAGAGTAAGTGCCCAGAATTGCTGGCTGCCAGCCTGGTTCTGCCTCTCTCCCCAAAGAGAAAGAGAGAGAAAGAGGAAAGAGGGGAGTGTTGGGACGGTACAGAGAAGAGCAGATGGGTGCTGGTGCCAGAGGCAGCCTGGGGAGGCGGGAGGCGGGAGAGGGCAGGCACTGGTGGGGCCAGAGTGCAGACTCACTCGTTGGTCATCTGCACCACCTTCTCGATGGCGGTGTAGCCGGCCGCCAGGAAGTGCTCTGTGTACTGCTGCATCTTGATGGACTCCAGCCACTCGGACACCGTGCGGAAGGGCACCCCCTCTGAGCCGCTGGTGCTGGGTAGCCGGATGGACACCCTGCAACAGGACACACCCACCTACAGGTGAGGGGCGGCAGAACCCAGCCTGTCGTGGACCCCGAGCCTGCTGCCCCCAACCCAGCAATTCACCCAGCTGCCCCGAGCCTCAGTGTCCTTATCCGGGCAACAGGGAAGCCAAGTCGGGCAGGGTTCCAGGAAACAGTATCAGGAGCAGTCAGTGTTTATAGCTGCGATGCCCCCTGCTCCTACTGACAATACCGCCACCCGTAACACAAACACAAAACAAATCTTAAGAGAGAGACTCAGGTTTCTAGAGGCGGTCTCAGTCTGGCCTTTGCCAGCACAGAAGACACCTCCTCGCCCCATGTCTCAGTTTCCTCATCTACAAAAGGGGGATAATTACAGGACCCATCTCCTAAGTTGTTTCAGTGAGTTAAAACATGTCAAGTGCTGAGCGCTGTGCCGGCACATTTACCACGTACGCTGGGTGCTTCTCTGAGTATCACCTGGGCCTCCCCCATCCAGTCTAAGCCCATGCACAACTTCTGCGCCCCTTGCCCGCTGCCCCTGGCTGACCATGACCCTGAAGTGGCTCAGGAGTAAAACTGGGGGCCTTCATGCACAGAGGGTATGGAACTCACCGAGGGTCAAAGTCGGCCAGGGTCTTGAGGGAGTCGGGGGCTCGGATGAGCTTGTCCAGGATGCTGACAATGTCAGCGAACTTGGGGCGGCGTGTGCGCTCCTGCTGCCAGCACTGCATCATGAGCTGGTAGATGGCGGAGGGGCAGTCCATGGGCGTGGGGAGCCGGAAGCCGTCATTGATGGCCTTCATCACCTGGAGTGGGGGTGGTGCAGCATGCTCAGGGGTGCCTTCACAGCCCCCGAACTCCCATACATAGTGGTGGACAGAGGAGGGAAGGGGAGAGCCCAACACACAACTGTCATACAAAGGACAAGTGCTAAGAGGCTGTCTCCAGAGCTCCATGGAGGAAAGGTCTCCTGATCCTGCTCCCTCACAGAGCACCCCAGGCAGCAGCCAGCCTCCCTGCAGCCTCTGGACATCGATACCCGCTGCTCCCTTCAGCCAGAGCATTCCTCCCCCTGTGTCTTCGCCTGGCTGCTGCCTTCCTGTGCTTTAGTCTCAGCTGAGATATGACCTCCTCTGGGAAGCCTTCCAGGCTTCCAAGCTGCATGAGGCACCAGGCGGTTGTGTGCATACACACACAAAGGCACAAATACACACACACACATACACACAGGCACAAATACACACACACACACACATATACACACATATGCATACACACACACACACACACACGCTCCCACCCTGACCCCAAAACTTGTTTCCTTGTCTTTCTACTGAGTGCAAGCAGGACTGGGTCTGGAGCCCAGCACAAGCCCTGACATGCAGTAGGCCCTCAATAAACATTCACTGAATGAACCATGAAGGGCTGTACCAGATAAGGATTAGCCCCCCGAACTCTTCTGCCCAGCCCCTGGGGTTCTGGAATGAGAAAACGGTTTAAGTTCAGGTCCGGACAGGGCGGGGCAGGGCGAGGGGCCTACCTCATGGTTTGACAGCTCCCAGTAGGGGCGCTCGCCGTAGGTCATCACCTCCCACATGACGATGCCATAGCTCCACACGTCGCTGGCAGAGGTGAACTTGCGGTAGGAAATGGCCTCTGGGGCCGTCCAGCGGATGGGGATCTTGCCGCCCTGCAGGGACCAAGCCAGTTACTACTGTCCCCTCGGCCATCCCCAGGACGATCTCAGTCAGGGCCTCTGCTCCATGCTCCCTGGAGGTGCGCAGGGCAGAGGACCCTGGAGCACGGCGAAGGCCGCTTCATCTCGAGGCCCCTATCCCCAGATGACAGCCGCCGCAGCACTTACACTGGTGGTGTAGGTGGCTTCGGGGTCGTCCTCCAGCACGCGGGAAAGGCCGAAGTCAGACACCTTGCAGACCAGATTGCTGTTGACGAGGATGTTGCGAGCAGCCAGGTCACGGTGGACATAGTTCATGTTGGCCAGGTACTTCATGCCGGCCGCGATGCCCCGCAGCATGCCCACCAGCTGCAGCACGCTGAACTCGCCATCCTTCTCCTGCCAAGAGCACAAGACTTCAGCCACCAGCCAGCCGTGTGCCCGCCAGGGCCCCGAGCACCGGCCGTGGATCCTGGCCCATCCCGCCCACGTCCTTACCCGAAGGAACTTGTCCAGGGCACCGTTCTCCATGTACTCGGTGATGATCATCATAGGCTTGTCTGCAGGGGTAAGCACAGGTGTAGGGAGCTGGCACAGGTGGGGAGGGGGCATGGGCACAGCTGTGGGTCTGGGTGGTGGACACAGCTATGAGCAGAGGCCCTGTTTGGTGGCCCGAGTGTGCAGGCCCTCCCCATCCCTCATGTGGGTCAGGGCCCTGAGGATCTCCCACCCAGCCCACCACCACTGTGGAGCCAAGCCTCACATTTGGAGACGACACCCTCCAGGCGGATGATGTTATGGTGGCTGAACTGGCCCATGATGCTGGCCTCGCTTAGGAAATCCACCCGCTGCTTCTCTGTGTAGCCGGCTTTCAGTGTCTTGATGGCCACAGGTACCTCCTTCTTCCCTGACGCCTTCAGTGTCCCTTTGTACACCTCCCCAAACTCTCCTGCAGGCAGGCGAGGTGGGAGAAGCACCCCAGTCAGCCCAGGCATCGCACGCTCCCAACCCGTACCAGGCCGCTCGGCAGGTGCGCCAACCTCACCTGCTCCGATCACCTTCTGCCGTGTGACACAGGATGGATGGATCTCGGTGGTGAACTTGAGCACAGCCTGGTTGGGGTCCTCGTATGTGTGCGGGTCCACATACGTCTTCAGGGGCTTCAGTTGTTCTGGAAGGGGAAGGAGGGGTGGGATCACAGACAGCCCGGGGAGGGGCCCCTATGAGGAGGTGCCCTAGAGGAAAAGGAGGAGGGGGAGGAGGAGGAGGCAGCAACAGACCAGAGACCTCAGGAGACTTGGACCAGCCTGTGGGGCAAGGAGCTTCTGGCTCAGCCCTCTGAGCTGCCCAAGGAAGTGCCCTGCCTGCCCCCACCTCCGCCCAGGGCTAGGGAGGTGGTGGGGAGAGCGGCTGGCCATGGAGGGGCTGCGTCTCACCTGACTTGGAGAAGTAGACGTCCTCGGAGGACTGGCGGGTCCGCAGACTCTTCCTCCTGAGAGACCCCGTGGGGAGCCAAACACACAGGGAGGTCAGTGACCGGCCGGGGAGCCTCCTGACCCTCCTCTGGTCCTCGGGTGGGGGGGGGTCTGGCGTGCTCAGCACTCCGCTCAGTTGGGCAGAGGGTGTGGGGAAGGCCGGAGGGGAGAGGAAATGAGCAAGCCGGGCTCACTCCTTGGGATCTACGCCCCGTAATGGCCCCTTAAATGGCTGTAATGAGGGCTTTCCTCATTAGCGCTCTCCAGAGCTTCCTGCCTGCGTGTCCAGGGGAAGTGTGGACACACCGTCATAATGACCACCACACCCCGAGCTGCCACGCATGCCAGGCGCCGCGCTGAGCACTTTACAGCTCACTGCATCTTCATACCCCCAGGCGAGGAGGGGTTAGACTCCTATCGGTCCCATCCTCCAGACAGGAAACTGAGGTTCCCGTCCCTCCGTGTCCCACCGAAGTCCTTGGGGAGCCCGGGCATGGGCTCTGACAAACCTGCGGTGGATGAAGAAGCCGATTCCTGCCAGCACCAGAAGCAAGACAACACCAACAGCCACACCACCAATCACCGCCATGTTGCCAGAACCTTCCGTGGCTGTTGGGGGAGACCAGCCGGTGACAAGGGAGCCCCCCACACTTCAAATCATGGTAACACCCCCAGTGGTACCCAAGGCCCACTTTAGGCATCCAAGACACGTGCTGGGTGCCTTTACTAGTGATGGTTCCTGAGAATTTGATTCCCATTTCATAGATGGCAAACGAGAGGCCTTCCACAGGGAACACAGTGGGTACTCAGGTGCGTGGGACTCTCTCCATGGTGCAGGATTTGAACTGAGCCTGCCAATGCCAGAGCCCACATCTTTCCTTCTCTCAACACTGCCCTGAATGCTTGGCCCTGGTCGCCTCCCCCAGCCCTCAATTCTGCCCCCTCCCACTCATGATTGTTCTAGGCTCAAGCTAGGGCACTTCTAAATTCTTTGATCCATTTCCTCTGCTCAAGATGTCCCAACTGTTTCAGGACCCTGGCCCGGCCCACACCTCAGTCCCCAACTCACACAGTGTCTGGAACTCGTGCACCTTGCTGCCAGCACCCTGGCCCTCCTGTGTCAGCGCCTGCACCTGGACCAGGTAGATGGTGTCTGGCACCAGGTCATCCAGGGTCACGGAGAAGCCTTCAGTGCGGCGCACGTTGTAGCTGTTAGAGTCCCCCTGTGGGTGTTTAGCGGGTGGAGGGGCAGACCATGAGGTCAGGGCAGGGGCATCATCTCAGCCCATCAGAGACTACTCCCAGCTTAGCAAGCTGGCTACTATGTTAGCAAACCCGAGGCTCCTCTCACAGAGGAGGAAACTGAGGCTCAGAGAAGTGAAGTGACTTGCTCAAGGTCATAGCCAGCAAATGCATGACCCAGGACTCAAACCCAGGTTTTATCCCCAAGACCTGGCTCTTTCCCCTACCCCCAACTGTCTCTTCCGAGGATTCCAGAACACTGTGTCTTCTCTCCCCTACATGTCTGCCAGGCTGGCCTGGGAGAGGCGACTCTCAGAAAGACCCCAGACCTCAGTTTCCTCATCTGTAGAATAGAGCTTCTTCAGGTGGCTGTGTTGTACAGTGAGCATCTATGTGACCAGCTGGTCCTCTGCTCAAAGCCCAGCAGGGACAGTCCTGATTCTTTGTGAGTTACCTTCTTGCGGTAGGTGACCTCATATTTCCACACGCGGCTCTGCTGTGGCAGAGGGATGCTCCAGGAGATGCTCAGCGATGTGGTGCTGCGGCCCTCCAGCTTCACCTTGGGGGGCTCTGGGCAGGGCGGTGGGAGGGAGGGGTGTGAGAAGTCACCCAAGGGCAAGGGGGTAGGGGGGGTGCACCCAGTCCCGCCTACAGCCCAGGCTCTTTAGATCCCAATCTGGGATTCTCAACTTTCAGCTCCAGAGTACAAAGCCCCAGGCCAGGACCCATCACAGGCTGGCACATCAGGGGTACCTTGTATTTATGAGTACATAAATAATAAAAGTAAAACAACAGCTGATCCTTGCTATAACCTCTCTATGGACAAGGCACTATTCTAAGAGCCTTATATATAAGAACTTATTAAATCTTCTCAATAGCCCCTATAACCCCCATTTTACAGGTGAGGAAACTGAGGCTTAGAGAGGTTAAGTAACCTGCCCACAGTCACAGAGCTCAGAAGTGACTCCAGGCACCGTGCCTTTAACCACATGCTGTTGCCTCTCTGAACACAGCCAACCCCTGAGTGGCCATCCTGTTGAACCCCACCCAGGCCAGGCCCCAAGGGCATATCTGCCACCCCCAGGCCCTCACCTGTCTGATTGATGCTGACGCTAGCAGTGCGAAAGCTGCGGCTGGTCACCAGACCTGACACACCATTGCGGGCCTCTACAGCAAAGGTGTAGTTCATGTGCGGCTCCAGGTCACTGACCGTCACGCTGGTGCGGGTCAGCCCGTAGGGTGGCTCGGAGTAGCGCACGCTGGCCTCGCAGGGCCCGCACTCGCCTGACTCAGGCCAGCACTGTTCGCAGGTGATGCTGTAGGTGATGTCATCTCGGCCTCCGTTGTCCTGGGGGGGCGTCCAGCGCAGCTCCACTTTGGCGCCCATGCCCACTGCCGTGAGGTAGTGCGGGGCGGAGGGGGGACCTGCACAGAGGGCAGAGCTCGGATCCAGGTGGCCATGGACACGTCAGTGTCCTCATGGTCCTCATGACCTCACCCACCTCAGTCATCCCCCCTGACCCACTGCAAGACTCACGAGTGCAGGGCAGTGACAACAGGTCCTGGGGGGCCCGGAAGTAGCCTTCCTCACACTCGCAGGCAGTGGCCCCCTCGGAGGACGGCAGGGTGTGTGCAGGGCATTCCAGACAGGGGCTCTCCGAGGCTTTGAACTTGAAGAATCCTGGCGAGCAGGCTGGCAGGGACAGGCACAGACATCAGTTCAGCCTGTTGCCACCCCAAGTGACTTTTCCATTCCCTTGCCATGGGTCCCCAGGAAAGTCGCTAAACCTCTTTGAGCGTGTTTTCTCATGGGTAAAATGTCTTGTGATAAGAAAATGCGTGGTAAGCACCTAGCTCAGGCTGGGCACCCAGGAAGTGCCTCGCCTGCATCCTCCAAACATTTGCATCCCTCACCACTGGCTCTTGCAAGAAGCGCCACGTCCCTGAGCCTGGCATTCAAGGCCCATAGTTCCCCTCTCAACTTCCTAAGCATCCTGTCTCGAAGCTGGATCAGCACCAGACAGAGCATTCTGCGGGCCTGCCTTATCTCCTTTAATCTGTGCAGACCATCCTGGCAGGTCCCCCCCCTGGACTGCAAGCTGCCCAGGGCAGTGCTGGGTCTTCTTCACCATTTGTGTTTGTTGACTGACTATTATCACTCCCCAGCAGATCAGCCAGCCATATCAAGATGTCACCTCTACAGGTGCTCCCCCCAACCCTGGGACCTCCCCACCATCCTGTTCCGGGGCTGACTGACCAGGAAGCAGGAAAGGCCAGGCCCCCAGCATTTTCTCTGGATCTGCTCCCAGGACCGAGTCATTTCCGCCACTCACAAGGACAGCCAGGAAGCAGCTCTTCCTCCCCCGGTGGCAGGTCCTGTCCTGGCCAGGCTAGTTAGGGGCTCAGACACCTGACTCCAGAGGCTTCTTCCTCCCACCACCCTATCCTGCCGTGGGCCCCAGGCCTTTCCTGGCCCCATAGGCAGGAAGCTACCCAGACACAGTGCAGGCCTTGGGCAGCTGCTAAAGTGATCAGGGCAGGGTGGGGGGCACCCTAGGGACCTCTTCCTCAACCCTACAATTATCACCCCCTCCTCAGCTTACTCCATGGAGAGGGCCCTGAGACACCTCCAACCTCAATGTCATGCCCTGTGCTGGGCACAGACCTTGAGATGAGACAAAGCCCCTAACCTTAGGGAGCAGGAGCACATGACAATGTCCACCATAAAGGGGTGGGCGAAGGGCAGAGGGTGGAGACAACCTTGGCCAGAGGTCTGTCGAGTCAGAGGGATATTTCAGCTGGGGCTTAGAGACTGAGTAGGAGTTCAGCAGGGCAGAAATATTGGAAGGAGTTAAGGGTGAGAAAGAGCAAGACTAACACAGGAAGTATAAGTGGCTTTGTGGGACCAGATCTGGGGAGCAGCAGGCACTAAGGGCTGAACGGTCTCCAGGGACCAGACTGAGAAAGGCCTTTAACGCCAGGTCAGGGAGCAGGGGCTTCAGTTTATTCTGGGGGCAATGAAAGCCACTGAAGGTTTGATGTAGAGAACAATGTCCCAGTCAGATCTAAACTGTCAGGAAAAAATTTTGGACAACTTCCCTCCTTGTCTAGCTCCCCATGCAAGCAGAGGTGGGACCGAAGACTGGGAGTCAGGGGACAGGACTCAAAGAACACCCAGTTCCTAAGGTCCTGAAGAGTGACTTCTTGTTAATGATTCTGCTTGCAGAGGGGCCCCAGGGGCCATCCCAGCAGCCTCTCTCACCATCCCCCCACCCCGTCCTGCCACGTAAGAGCATCAGCACAGGCCCTGAAAGCATTCGGGCACATGCTGTAGGGCAGGGGACTTGTACAGGACAGAGGAGGCCTGGGACCTGACATTCTGCTCTGTGCAGAGCCTGGAGCCCCAGTGACAAACAGCGACCACTGATTAAGCAGCTGCTGTGTGCAGCTCCTGGGCCAAGCACTTGACATTCATTTAGTCCTCACAATAAGTCTCCTATACTAGGCACTGTTATCATTCATTCCACTTTGGAGGTGAGGAGACTGATGCTCAGAGAGGCAAAACAACTTGGCCAAGGTCAACAAGCTCCTAAGACGCAAAAGTCAAAGCCTAAACCTGGATGTCTGACCTCAAACCCCTCTCCTTTCCCATAAACATCTCAGTTTGGAGCAAAGAAAAATTAACGCTCTGAAACAAGCCCGAAGAGGGAGGAGAGGAGGCCTGATCCGCTTCAAAACCAGAAAATCCCAAGACTAATTTCAGAGCAGCTGGGGGAGGTGTATGCATGGCACCTCTTAACATAGGTCTTCTCAAACTGGGCACAATTATGTCCTAGGGGAGAAAAGAGTGGAATTCAACCTGGGACAGTCAACGTGGCCTCCTTCAGTCCCCAAAGATCTTTCAAGTCTCCTACTGTATTTAAGAAATCCATGTGTATTTTGAATTCCTCCTCATAACTTATCTGTTACAATACAAAAATAGCTCTCTCCTCCCCCAAATCTTCAAGTAAAAAGGATACTTCAGAAAGCTGGGCCATGTTTATCCTGGGATCTCAGTTCTCCCAAATGCCCTGACTTGCCCGCCCCAGGGGCTTACACTCTGGGTAAGTCCTGGTTCCCAGTGGCCCAGGCCTAGCAGAGTTAGGGTGTCAGGGGCCCCTAGAATCAAAATCACACCTTCCTGGCTCAGGTTCTCAGGCCGAAGCGGAACACAAGCCCCTATAACTCAGGCTTGTTTCTGTCGAAGGCTTCAGCCACCTGCAAACCGCCCCCCAGTGCCCTCACTCCCCACCACGTGGTTGCTCCCCAGCCCCCCAGCCCTATGCCAAGAGGAGGAAGTGGGGGAAGAGTCGGGTTCCATTCTTTGGTCCCAGAGCCTGGGGGTGGCCCGCCTGCTGCCGGCAGGAAAGAGGGAATTTGGAGAGATTTCCGCTGCGGATGTGCCAGATAATACAGTGGAGAGGCAGCATCAACAGGGCATGTGCTTGCCTGATGAGAATGTACTGCCCCCTCCTCTAACCAAAGAACTACAAGGGGCCTTCCCAGGGTCCCGCCAGAATGTGCCCTTGCTCAGGGGGCCCAGAGTTCATGTGTCTGACACCAGCAGACCCTTGTGTCTTCCTGCCTTTGCCTGATTGGATTTCCTGGCACTCTGGGCAGGGAAGTGGGAACAGAGGTCACTCACTGGGTAGTCACACATATTCAAACATACACAAAATACCCACTGTCTTCACCAACCAGCAAACTCCTATGCACCCTTCAGTACCCAGCTTGAGCTCCTCTACACAGCCCTCCCAAACTGCCCAATTTCTGGCCCCCTTCTGACCACTAGGGCACCTGTTACTCAATCTTATGTTTACCAAATAGAAGCTGAGCACTTCCTAAGCGTCTGGCACAATCCTGGGTGCTGGGATACGGTGGTGAGGTGAATAAACACCGTTTCTGCTCCAGAGGTATTCACAGCCTGGCTTTTGTGCTCCATTTAAAATGGTTTCTGCACATACTAGGATCCTCTGAGACTGGCAGCTCCTGGGGAGCTGGAATGGAGTCGCATTCACCTGTCCCGTGGCCCAGCAGTCTGTCAAGCAGAGGTATCTGGCTAATGTTTGTTGACTGGATGATGAATGAATGTGTGAGCAAAGACAAACCCGACAACGTGCACATTAAACACGCGCTCTAGGGCCACAGAAATGAATGGCGTTTCTGTAATGGAAAAGAATCTGAAAATATATATGTATTATGTATAACTGAATTGCTTTGCTTACACCTGAAATTAACACTGTAAATCGACTAAACTTCAATAAAAAATAAGAACAAAAAAAAAGAAAAGAAAAGAAAAGAAATGAGCGGTGCTTCAGTGCCCAGGGAGACCCTGCAGGGGTGGTGTGCCAGGAACACCACCTGCCTGGCACCAGAGCCTGACTCTGGCATACCTGTACCTGTGGAGAACTTCTCTGGCCCTGGCCTCCTGGCAGGCCCAGGCCACTCTGAGCAGGAGAACTGGGGCACAGTGGCTACACCCCGTTTTTCCAGTTCCTGATGCCCGCCCCTCAGGTGGCAGCATGGGGTGACACAGGGACAGACACCCTCTGGCGTGACGCAAATCCAGCCTCTGGCAGAGGCCCTCCCTCCAGGCCCAACCACCTCCCAAGGCTGGTGGTGGCGAGGTCATAGGGTCAGGAGGTTGAGGTGGCAATTCACCTGCGGCCAGTCACCTCCCCAAGCAGTGCCCAGCTGGCGACCACGTGCACCACCTTAGCCCCAGTATGCAGAGCCTGGACTTTGTCTCATGCCTGGACAGGCAGCAAACTGCAACCCCGTAAGTTACTGACCCTGCAAATGAGGGGAACTGCTAACTCCAGACCCTGGTGGCTTCTCCGTCTGCAGCAGGCGCTGTCGTCCCCACAGAAGCAGGAGTCCCAGTGGCCCGAGTGCTGCTAGCACCTTGCCCTTTTCCCACACACCCTGGGGAATAATCTTCAGGCACATTCTTTGACCCAAGCTGTGATAAGCAGAATAACTTGGGCTCCCCACCCCCAGCCTCCTGCCCTCCACCGGCCTTTTATCTTCTGTTTGCTTTCCCTGCCTCCTTCCTTCCGTTATGGGGACACGCTTACCTCCATGAGGGAGGGAGGGGCCTCCCATGGAGCTGCCAGCACCTGAATTTGCCCCATTGTGAGCTGAGGGCAGGGCGGGCAGGGCACAGAGGTGGGGGCTGCCACCTATCCCACCCACACATTCGGGCCAAAGGAAACTCCAAAGAAATAAGGCCGGTGGCACTCCCCAGGGAAGGGACAAGCCCAAGAGTCACAGCTCACAGAGCCCCCATCCCATGGATCAGCCCTGCCCTGACAAAGTAGGGCTCCTGCCAACAGCCCCTGCCACGGCTCAGGGCCACCCTGCCTAAGGACCACCTCAACCGGAGCCATCCTCTGCCCAGGGGATGCTTCCTCTTCAGCTATGGACCCTGGGCCTGGGCCATTCAGGATGCCAGCACTAGGGCCCCACTCCTTGCCACACATGATGAGGTCACCCAGTCTACAGCTTGCTGGAGTAATCCAGGTTCTCAGATGGAGCCACAGCAGAAAGTCACAGGAGGTAGACTCATTGCTAAGTCAGCAGCAAGTTTCAAAAGCACCCTTTTTACAGGTGGGGAGAATGAGGCCCAGAGGGGACTCACCAAGATCACACAGCTTCTGAGTAGAAAGATAAATGCCAGAGGCACTTAGAGACAGTGTACTGCCCTCCCCATGCCATGCCCCAGCTCTTGTGGTCACTGTTTCCTCTCTCTGGGCCTCAGTTTCTTCATCTGTAAAATGGGGATAAAGTTCTCTTCCTCTCTGGGCTATTTGTGAAGACTGAAGGAAACCTCACTTGGGAAAGACTCAACTTGGGATGAAGTGTCCATGAGCTGGGGGATAGAGAAACTGGGGCAGAGAGGGGTTGGGCCCCTTGAGGGATCAGGAGCCTCCAAGGAAGGAATTCCTGACCCTCACAGCCTCCCCCTCCAGCTCTGGCCTCCCAGCTGCTGGGCTGAGCCTCTGGCCAAAGCGCTGGCCACCTGCTCACCTGGCTGGCAGTCCCCATGGCTGAGGCACCAGCCAGGGCCCCGCCAAGCTGCCGATGCCAGCACAGTAAGCGGAGACAAACAGGGAGACAAAGCCGCCCCAGGGGAGATGATGGTCAGCCTGAGTGACTCCGCTGTCCCCCGACAGGGCTGGGGGAGGGCGGGGGAGGGGTGGTTGGAGGGAAGCTGGCTCATTCCTGACATAGTTCAAGAGAGCTCTCTGGGCAGTGTGCCCACCTGTCCACACAGCACCTGGGAGGTTCCTCCCTTCCTTTGTCCATTTAACTCTTTCCTGAGCTGGAGCTTCCTGGGGAAAGAACCCTGAGGAGAAATGAACACTGGGAATAACCTGGACCTGGTGCTGGGTGACCCTGGCATGCTCACACCCGCTCCCTAGGTTTGGTTTGTCATGAATGAAAGCCCCAGTGGGACCCCATCAGGGTCCACGTCTCTGTGGAGGGCCAGACAGGGGGCAGGCCCTGAATCTCCCTCCCTTTCTCCCATAACGTGCTCTGTAACAGCCCCCCAACCACCTCACCTCCTGCACCAGGACCTGTCATCCTGGGGCTGTCCTGAGAACCTGTCCCAGGGCCAGGAGCTGAGTCAGGGATTCCAAAGGAACTGGTCATTTCCCGCCCTATTTCCTGACCCATCCTCCAGCCTGGATGCTGTTGCATCGCCTGAATTCAGTCCTGATGCAACTACATCTTAGCTGTGTGACTCCAGGCAAGTCTCTTCACCTCTCTGAGCCTCGGTTTCCTGTCTGTTGAATGAGACTGATAACAGTCCCTGTTCTCAGGTGGTGCAGATTTAGCAGGAACATCCAGATAAAGCACTTGCTTGGCTTGTGCCTGCCCTGCAAAAGCACTTCTCTGCTATTATGGAGTTACTATTATCCCACTGGCATCATGGTCAGGGGCTCCTGGGAAAGGTCTGGAGGGATAAAGAATAGCCAGGCTGGGGGTTCTCAGCCGCGCAGAGGGTCCCTAAACCAGACTGAAGGGAATTTTCTAGAGGCCTCCCAAGGAGGGAAAACCAGGGAATAGGTGGCTGACAGTTGAGAGGTCAAAAATTCCGCTCCTGGAAACCAGTCCTCCCAACCTGGGGAGGCTCAACTCTTCACAAACAAAGCCTGCTAGGTCCTGACCCCCCCACCTCCGGGGAGGGAAGCCTGCCCCCCTTCCCGGACAGACACCCCCCAACCCCAACTGTCCACTTATCTCTGTAGAGCCTGAATCACCAGCCTGTGGAAAGTTTTCAGCTGCCCCTCACCCCCCACCCCCGCATTCTTGTGTGAGGATGTCATGTGGGAGGAGTCTGCTCGACCCACTGGGCTGCCTTGGCCCCCCCCCACCCCACAGTCATTGTCTGAAACTGGGAGTGTGCACTTGAGGTCACCTAAAGCAGGGGCCGCCTGAGGAGCAGAGGGGAGCTGGGAAGACAACAGGGTGGTGGGAAGGGCCAGAGCAGAGACTATACCACAGGTACAGAAAGGCTCTTAGAGAACTTCTCATTCAGGGGTGTGCAGGCTGTGTTAAGCAAGGTTCTGAGGATTTATTTTATGAGGCAAGTAGAGACCATCAGAAAGGGTTTCAGGCTCCTCCAACATCTGAAAACTTTTCATGGGTTGCAGGATCCATGGCTAAAAACCAAGTATTCAGTCTGCTAGTATAATTGAACTTGTCGTTTTACTAACAAGAAGCCAGAGGTGAAGAGAGATTTACCAAAGGTCACTCAGTGGGTGTGTGTAGCTACAGGGCCTATACCCCCAATTTCTCAACACCCTGCTTATCTCAGCAAAGAAGCTCCCAGAGAGAGGGGATGAGCTGGCCTTCCAAAGGTTGGCCTACATTCCACAAATGCCCTGCCCCACAGCCTTTTCCAGAAAAAGTCACCCATTGAAAAAAACCCACGTTGCTCTAGAGATTTCCGCTGTCACAGGCCCCAGCCGTGCCAAGCCACAGCCTCCCAATGTGAGCTCACTAATGTCCAGGCCCTGTTCCCAGAGACAGCCTGCTTTAATTGCCCCCTCTCTGGGCTCAACTTGTCATCAGTAGAAGCCCCAGTGGGGGGATCTGAGTGTATGGCCCCGGGGAGGGTCAGGCAGGGAGGGCAGACCCTGACATCCCCTGCACCTCTTCCCTCAATGCAGGCATTTTTCAAAAACTCCCCAGGCTAATGTCAGGTACAGCCAGGTGATGAGAATCCTGGGTCCAGTTCACTTACTTCCATGTACAAAAGAGAAGCCTGAGACCCAGAGAGGTTAGGTGACTTGCCTAAAGTCACACAGTGAGTTAACAGAGATGGAAATAGCTCCTAGAACTGTAGTGTGTGCCCACAGTGCTCGTATATAATAGATACTCAAGATATACTTGTGGGATGAATCAAAAATAACAATCAAATTTTAAAAGCACTTATGTGTCAGACACTGACTTAAGCACTTTATGAGTATTAAGTCATTAGATTATCATAACAACCCTATGAGATAGGCACTGTGTTCATCTCTGTTTTACAGATGAGAAAACCTGGGCACAGAGAGGTTAAGGAATTAGCTTAAAATCACAGCTAAATGCAGAGCTGGGATTGGAAGCCAGGTATTCTTGTCCTAGAAAGAGGCTGTAGGTTAGTGGTAGAACATAGGGCTAGCTAGCATAGGGCTTCCGTGCTATACTGTTTCCCAGTTTACTCATTTTCAGTGAATAAGTGAATCCAGTCATAAGTCCAAGAAGCCCCTGAGATTTCACCTAACAGAATCACAGCATCTCAGAGCTGGGACAATCTTACCAAGGTTGCCACTTTCCAGAGCCGAGACTAGAACTTGGGAACACAGCCTCCACCCCAGCACCCCCTTTCCCTGCCACCCCAGCATCATCACTCACCCTGGCAGGCATCTTCCACCTTCTCGTAGCCCGCCTGACACAGGCACTGACCGATGGGCACCAGCCACTCGCCATCTACCGCACAGTGCATGCGGGGCTCTTCACCCCCAGGTGGCACCACAGCGTGGTCCACGCAGGTGCCAGCAACGGTGGCCAGGGAGGGTGCATCAGAGCCTGCGATGGTCTCGGGGAAGTGGGCCAGGCCCTGCAGCAGCTCGGGACACTTCTTGTAGTAGACACGGACAGAGAGCAGCGCCACGCAGGCACCAATGTCCTGGAAGGCCAGGTAGAAGCCCTTGCGGCTGAGCGGCCCCACGGAGCGTTCCTCCACGTTCAGCTTCACGTGTCGCGCTTCAAAGTCGCTGCTGACCGTGATCTCGTCGGGCGCGATGGTGTCGATCTTGGTGAACTGGCGCTTCTGGAAGTTGGTGCCATAGTCCACGTCCGACTCAGCGTAGTAGAGGTTGAAGGTTTCCTTGCAGGAGCTGGCACCACCGGGGAAGCTGTTGCAGTCACGCACGGTAAACTTGAGCTCGATGAAGATGCGCTCGGCCTCACCACGATATACCCAGTTGGTGCGGAGCCAGTTGTCCTGGTCGCCAGCCACCACGTTGCACACAGAGTACATGTAGATGGGCATGTCATCCATGATGTTCTGCATGAGGTCCCACTGCGCGGGGGCCAACAGGTTAGTGTGGGCAGGCGCGCGGGAACTGAGGCCCTGGGGCATTGCCCAGGCAGCAGAGCTGGGCACCAGGAAGATACTCTGTGGTTCCTGCTTATTCTCATTCTGCAGGGAGGGAAACTGAGGCCCAGGGATGTGCTTCAAGTTGCCCTCAAACACTACAAGTGGCTGAGCTGGGATCTGACCTCCTGGTGTCTCAGACCCCAGAGTTGGGCTGTTGAACCCCTATATGAGACAGTGAGCTGAGGGTGGAAGCTGGGGGTTCCACGTGACTTCAGGCAGATTTAATCTCTCTGAGCCTCCAAGTCCCCACTGTACAATGGGGGCAAGAGCTACCTCACAGCATTGCCGTGAGGACAAATAACTGAGCACTTTGTCTGGAGTGGGTGACAGTCATACCAGGCAGCTGGTATCATCATCATCATCATTACTGTTATTCACTGTACATGTGTATGTATAGACATGTGTGAGTGGCAGGGGAAGGGCTTAAGACAGAAACAATGGATGAGCCCCCATCACTTACATTTTGGCTTTTTCAACATGTGTTTATCCCTCCTCAGACTATAGCTCAGCCTTCTCCAGGAAGACTTCCCAGGTTGGGCTAAGTAAGGTTGGGGTAAATGCCTCCTTCTGGCTCCCAGAGTCTCCACTATGATAGCACCTATGTGGTGACATCTACACCTGGCTCCCACACTAGATTCTGAGCTCCTTAGGGCAGAGATGGCATCTAATACATTTCTGTATCCCCAGGGCCTATGTGAAATGGAATAGGTACTCAGGAATGTATTTGTTAAATGAATGAAAAGTAGACAGGACAAAGGAAAAAAAAAAAAGGCCTGGGCTGCATTGTGACATTGGCCAAGGCCTCAGATGCCCTTGGGCCTCAGTTTCCCACTCTGTATAATGACTGGGTTGGATTAGATGATCTGTGTTCTCTCCCAGCTGAATGTTCTAGGATCCTAGAAATCCACTAGAGCTACACTCCAGGCCTCCTAAGAGCTAAGGGGACCAGGGACAGGCGCCTGACTTTCATGGATCTGGCCAGCAATAGAAACTGTCCCAAGTAGCCCTCTGGAGACACTGCTCTCCCCAGCTCAGGCCCCAGAACAAACTCAACAAGGGCCCCTTATACAAAGGCGGAAACTGAGGCTCAGAGAGCAGTAGTATCTTCGCCAAGACCACACAGTGGTCACACGGAAAGACAGGAAGAGGATCCTAGTGCCTTGCCCACCAGTCCAGGTCACAGCCAGGCAGGGCAGAGGGGAGGGAATGAACCCGGGTGGGAAGGAGGCAAAACAAACTCTACCCTGAGCAGGAAAGGGAAGTAGCAGCTGGAGGGGCCGGGAGAGGGCCCAGTGGGAAGAACTTGATCGGGTTTCCTGGGGCTGTGGGGACCTGGGAACCACTGTTCCCTGCCTCTGACTCAACCCCTCACCTCCTGGGCTGGGACCTCGAAGACAGGGGGAGCCTTTAACTGCTTCCCTCCCCAGAGGGGAGTGGAGGGAGCCACAGGGGGTCCCTCTGACCATCAGCCCTCTGGGGCAGCGAGGGTCCGACTCTGCTCAGGCCCCCAGCTGTCTCCCCAACTCTTTCTACCACTCAGGTGCCTTCCCCACCTTCCAACCCCATCCTGCCCAGATGGTGTGAGAAGCAGGATCCTGAGTTTGAACCCTGGCTGAGCTGTGCGATCTAGGCCAGGCCCCATCCTCCTGGGCCCCAGTTTCCCCATTCCCACACCCCGACCCGAGCCTGAAGACTTACCCCTTTGCCGTATGGGTGTGTGAGCCAGCCGAGTTCCCCTTTAGCCGCAGCAAAGTCCAACAGTACAACTGGAAGAGATGACAGAGGGGGCCGGGTGAGCTTGAGGGCATCTTCAGGGGTCAGGCTATAGTGGAAAAGGCGAGAGGCCCCCAGGAATCCCAAGAGGCCTTCCTCAGCCTCAGAGAGAGACCACAACACACAGGGTCACCCTATGCAAGAGACCTGGCCCTCCACAAATAGGGAAACAGAGGCCCAGGGAAGGGATGGGATGTAGTCAAAACCACAGAGCTGGTTCAGTGAGGACAAGGCTTCCTGTCTCCCAGGCCATGACTCCAGCCATGCCGCCCCCCTCAGCAGCCCCCAGCTGGGCAGAGCAGGACAGAGCTCAGCCCAGCAGGGGAACAGCAGCTGGGCAGAGAGCAGGGGCGTGTGGGGCTATTAAGTGACACCATGCTGCCCCATCTGCCTCCTGACACAAGGCCCCTCCGCAGCAGTTCACACGCATGTGGGCTTTGAGGGTACTCTTGGCCGCTCCTGCCACATCCCCCCCACACAGCACAAAACACCCTCAACCCCACCCAGGCCACGTGGCTCACACATATGCAGCACACGTATATACACGTGTCTCATGGCACTCCAAGAGGAGAGAGCTGTTAACAGGTGGGAACAGCTCCAGGGAGGGGAGGGGGACCGGTGGGGGGTGTCTGGAAACTGATCTTCTCACCACAAAAGCCACAGAACAGGCGGGATAAAGCCCTGAACCCCCAGGGGCCTCTAGGAGGGACCCAAAGATACACACAGCTGGCGAGGTCCCCTCCCTGGGAAGGTTGCTCCCGCTGCCTCTGTCCCTCACACCCTGGCCACTGCCCTGCCAGGGATGCCTGCCAGGGGTGCCTGGGGCACCCAGGATGGAAACCCTAATAGGGGACTTCCAGGCCCAGAAGAACCAGGACCATGCTGCCCCCAAGAAGCACCTGGAACCTGAGGGAAGGATACACTGCCAGGGGCTTCCCTACATCCAGGCCTGCCCTTGGGCACCTCCCATCAGTCCACCCCTGGCTCTGCCAGGCTCAGCAGCTGCAGCCAGGACCCAAGACCCAAGACCCCTGGTCCAGCCCCTCCTCCATTTCCAAGTAAGGTCCAGGTAGCTGCCAATAGAAGCCACCCTCCCTAGAAGGTAAGGAGATTGGGGAAACTGAGGCATGGACTCTATATAAGGTCCCCAGATTCAGAGTAAAGCCCTAAAGTGGAGGGAGGAAGGGACCAAGTGCTTACATCCTTTGGACCCTGGAGCTTGAGGAATATGGCCTATTGAAGGAGCATTCATCAAGGCCAGTACCTGGGAGACTCTAAGGGTGGAACCTTGGGCTGGCAGGGAGCAGAGGTGGGCCTGATTTAAAGAGATGGAGAGGGAGGGGGAGAGGAGCCTGAGAGGAGTCTGAGAAATCCTTTCCTGATGGCCCCAGGGCCTGGGCGTGTGAAGCCCTGCCACCTGACTGCTGCTGACCGGGGCCAAATCTCTCTAGGAAGGGTCCCACAGCCCAGACAGGGAGAGGAAATCCGATGTGGCACCAGCCCCAAGGCTGAGGGGGAGGGGGAGGGTGGCGGGGGGGTGGGTAGGGGCAGGGATTTGTTCGGACATGCCCAGGGCTCAGGCTTGGAAAACTCACTAACCCCACTAGCAAATGGAATGTTCCGGCTACACAGGAAGGAATCTGGGGGTTCCTGGCTCCTGCTGGATAAGTAGGAGGACAAAGGTGAAAGCTCCTCACAGGGGGCCTGCACAGCCTCCTTCCCTAGAGGGGTAGGCAGCTGCCCCTGAGGGAGGGGGCTCATGGCTCCCAGGCTCTGAAGGGTTAACCTGGCACGGAGGGACGCCCACCACCGCTGCCAGGGCTCACTCCCCTTCAAGCCCCAGGCCTGGCTCTAGAATTATCACAGGGCTCATCTGAGAAGAAAAGATGCCTTCACAGAGGAAGGAGCCCCCTCCCGGGGAAATTCCCTAGAACCGATCACCAGGAACAGGCGCCCTGCCCAGGCCCTCCACCCTGACGCCGCTCGGGTGCAGCCTCTCCCTGAGCGCTTCCAGGGGCTGAGGCTCCTGCTTCCCTGGAAGGGGCAGGGCCCCAAGAGCCTCTCAGTTGACCCCAAAAGCTTCACTGACGGGCCTGAGCTAAGCAGGGCTCATCCAGGAGCCCCCTGTCCCTCACCCCACCCCAGGAAAACCTCCCTCTCAGCCTGAAGTTCCATTATAAATGTCATCCATCTGGGTCCATATTGTTTTAGGGCTTTTAACTCAAATCCAGTACTACCACCCACTCCCCTAGTGTCGCCTCCCTGCTCCCCCCATCCCTCTTTAACCAAGACCAGCTAACTCGTAAAGAAACAGGGAGGCAGAGGACTCTGTGGGGAGGAAGGATGAAGCAAAAAGGGAAAGGAACAGAGGGCACATTGGGCTTTTACAGAATCAAGAAGCCAGTGACTTCCAAGGCCTCTGGGCACTCTCCAGCCCACCTCCCAGCTGCACCTCAAGTCAGCAACCCCTGCACCCCTGCACCCCTGCACAGCAATTCTCACTTCTCAAGAAAACCCACCATGAAACCATGGCGCAGGGGCCCTGGGCTCTGGCAGCCCAAGAAGTCAGATGCTCAGACCTAATCCTCTCTGTGCAGAGGGCCCTGCCAGGCGACGGCTTGGGCCTCCCTCAGTTTCCCTATTTGTAAAAGGAGGACGGATTCAGTGGCTGTTGAGAACTTAATAGGCTCCATCTGGGTCTCCAAATGCAGCCTGGCTCCTCCACTCACAGGGAAGCAGCAAGAAAAGAGAAGGGAAGTGAGCAGTGGCCTAGGTGAAAGGTAGACGAAGGCGCATGTGTCCTCTCTGCACCCACAACCCATAACCAGGGAGATCAGCCACATCTAGGAATCCCTGGGAGCACAACGCACCAGCAGCTGGACTATCACTTGCCCCCATCCCCGCCATTGGCACACCTCCTAGGGAGTCCTTCACAAGGGCCCTTGGAGCCTCAGCAAATATGTTTGCCTGTCCTTTTCCTCCATCACATGGGGAGGTGGGGCACCAGTCATCAAGGCTGGGGAGGGCTGGACAGAGGAGCACAAGGACAAGGCTGGAGCACAATTATCACCCAGTAGCATCACCCTGCTTAATCCCCCTACTCCCCCGTAGGCAGCCTTCAGGAAAGGCCTGTAGTGAATCCAGCCTCTCTCCCCTTGTCTCCAACCACAATCCCCCCAGGAAGAGGAAGGACCAAATGCTGCTGGAGTAGGGTGGGTATTGAGGGTCACAGAAATCTCAGCTACCCACTCCTCCTGCAAGTTTGTACCAGGAACCCTGACTGATCCAGGGAAGGGGACAGGATGCCACCCCCACCTCCACCAAGAATTCCAGTTCTGGCCTCCCAGCTTGGAACAGCAAAACCTCCAACCCCGGTTTGGGGGGCGGAAAAAGGCTCAAGGAAACTTCTCACCAGGCCAGGGTTTCCTCCGCACTTCCCTCTGGCGGAGCCTGCGGAAACCTCCCTCTGCCCAGGCGGGTGGGCAAAACTTGTTCTCTCGGAAACTGAAGCCGGCCTCGGCCAGGTGGACAGGAAGGTCTTGGGTCAAGGGCAGGAGAGCCCCCATCCTCTGTGGCCCTAGCTAAGGGGCAACACCCCCATCCACCACCCGCCCCGCCCAGGGCAAAGTCCACCGCCCCTCACCCAGCGCGGCACCAGGAGTGCTGGGGCGGGGGTGGGTGATTCAGTCCCTCACCCCTGGGTGCCCGGACTCCCTGGTGGCCCCGGGGTGACGGCTCCACACCTTGGGAGGCCGCGCCCCCACCTGCCGCATTTCCTCGTCTGAGTCAACCCTTGCTCAGAACGCTTGAGTTTGGGACTTCCTGTCCGCACTCGGGGCCCCGAACCTGCCCCCCGAACCTGGGAGTGCGAAGTGGGAAAGAGGGAAGACTGTGCGTGGGCAGACTGGCCCGAAACTCCCCGCATGCTCTCCTCCAGGACTGGAGGCAGAAGGGGACGTGGAGAAAATCTCAGGGTGCTGGGGCTTCCTCAGAGAGCTCCCCGCCGGCCGAACAGACCCCTCTCCAAAATGAGGGGCCTCCACAGAAACGCCTTCTCCACAAAATCGGGGCAAGCGGCTTAGTGAATTCAGGTCACCAAGAGGCTGAGCCCGCGGAAAGGCCCCCCAGACAGCCCATTTTCCAAGGGACCCCCGCGCCCCCGCCGGGACCGCGTCCTGAAGCTGCCGCCGGGCCGCAACCGCGTGGCGGCCCCGCGTCCCCTTCACCGGAGGCCTTCGAGCCCGCGCGCCGGCCGCAACCTAGTCCCG